TTGTAGTGGCAAACATATAATGAGAACTAAAACTGAGCTGATGTCTGCATCTTACCATTAGAATATAATTGCTCTTTTCTTCTCTGTCCAAGGAGGCATCACTGTTCAATGACAAAGTGCCCTGGTTGTTCATATTAAACGTACTGCTGTTTAGAATGAAGTGTCCTTTTGAAAACCCATCCTGTACAAGAAAGCAAAATAAAGATCAACGCTCATTTAGAGACTATTCTCATGTTTTAAAAATTAAGTTTATGAATGAATGCATTCATTAGTTTCAAATGCTGAACTATCTCTGAGTACAATAACTCCAGAAAGCTGTATGAGGTTTACAACAGTCAAGCAAAGTCAACAGCACTGGTGCATAGTTCTAGGGTCTTGCTCATTTTTATGCAGATTTGGTTGCTTCATTTTGGTTTAAAATGATGTACAATTTCAGAAAAATAGCGATGATGGCTAACCAAACTTGAGATCCATTGAAAGGGATTTATTAAAATATTTTGCTTGGTGTCCTTTAAAAAGTGCAAGCAGATGGAATTAATTGTCTTTGATATAAACTGACATTGTACAGTATGTACAGACAGGCTTTCATTATACTTAAAATAATTCAGATGCAAAATTATCCAGCTTCCCTGCAGAGTTACAACCACACTTGAAAGTAAACCAAAAGGTAGTCTGACTCCTTTGTTTAACAACAGCAAAGGCAAGGAGACTTTCAAAGCTTTTCCGACCAGACCAGGATTCGTATTTTATTTGCTTTAAGCAGTAACATAAGCATAAATATGGCAATCAGGACATGGAAAAAATAATGTTAATTTGAGCATGGTTTGGATTTCTCTTTTGGAGAGAGGAAAAGTGGACATATTTTGCCCAAGAGCAAAATGCTTTTGATAGTTGTCCTGTAAATAAAGACTTCATATTATCTGTACCAGGTCTTTTTATGATACTTGAACTTGGATACAGGAGGGGTAATTTGTCAGGGAAAGACAGGACTCGTATTGTTGTCAGTAGTGATAAGCACAAAGATAAAGTATTGCTCCTTACCTCATCTTTATCTGTAACACTGACTGTAAAAACAGCAGCCCCACTTGGTATGGTTTCATAGACAGAGATGTGATATTCATCCTCATCAAACTGAGGTGGATTGTCATTCACATCAAGCACTCGGATTAGCACAGAACATGTGCTCTGAAGGCTGGGTGATCCCCCATCTTTGGCTTCCACTGTCAGGATGTACTGCCTCACAATCTCAAAATTCAGGGGTGAGCTGAGGCTCAGTGCCCCGGAAACACGGTCCAGAGTGAAGACTAAAGGATCACTGGGTGTCTGCCCAACAATTCTGTACTCCACTACAGAGTTAGGACCCTCATCCAAGTCCACTGCTGTGACATTGAGCACTGCATTCCCCACACTCATGTCTTCGGGTATTTCTACCTCATATCTGGCAAGGCTGAACACTGGATAGTTGTCATTGACATCTACAACATTGACCCCGAAGGCAACTGTGCTGGACTTGGAGGGCTGGCCCTGGTCTCTTGCAATTGCTATCAAGTTGTACTTTGCCTTCACTTCTCTGTCCAGTTCTTTCACCAAAGTTATCTGTCCAGTCCTGGGATCTATGTCAAAAATCCCTTCACTGCCTTGTAAGGCAAAACTGATTTCAGCGTTGAAGCCATCGTCCACATCCATGGCCACCATGTTAGCAACTACAGTACCATTTTCTGCTGCTTCTGGGAGAGCGACATCAGGGTAGCTCCCTGCAAAGACAGGGCTGTTGTCATTGATGTCAACAACCTTCACAATGACATTGCCCAGGTCCTCAGACATGCCGTCTGAAATGGAGATGCTTATAGAGTGGTTTCTGTGACTTTCATAGTCCAGCTTGACTTTGGTTGAAATGACGCCATTCTTGTCAATTTCAAATTTATCTGTTTCGGTCAGGATCCTGAGAGTTGCTGGTACAACAGGGTTCAAGGACATAAAGTCAACCTGGAAAGTAAAAAAAAATATATTTAAAATATATTTTAAAATAAAAAAGAAAATAAAACTCTGAGAATAAAACTCAATCTACTGTTGTAGTTTAGATGAACCAACACCAAAACAGAACCCAGCATAGTAATTCAGCATCATGTCAGCTGAATTGTAGATTGTCTAATAGGGAGGAAGGGCTGTCCATTATTGCCAAATGTCTGTTTTCTGCCCCCAAACACTATTTTATGAGAAAAATATACTTTTACCTTTTTGTTCATAAGTACAAAAGATCTTTATTTCAAAGTGTCATAATAAAGTATAAAATTAGCTAAATCATCCAAAACAAAAACACCCATTGCAAGCAATTGACCTATTACATTGGTCATATATTAATATATATGGCCAAATATATTTGTATATATATTTGTGAAAGGTGTGGTATATCTGATCTTATAGAGGCCCCATTTAGCACTTCTCTTAAATCCAAATATGAGGGTTTACTGTAATGTACCAAACAAAGAGTAACAGGTTTCAAAGAACTGCCCAACTTACCAAATAATGTTGTTGAAATACTATAAAGAAGCTATAATGTACTGAATTGAATTGAAGCATTCTTTCTAACTCTGTCACAGCTAAAATATGTCATTAACTCACTTCTGCTGCAATGTTCACTTGTCAGCCTGGGATTTAGTATCATTCTGACAGCTCATGTGTCAAATATATCACTTGTTAATACCTTATAAAAACAACACAATTTAAAAATCTGAAGTTTTTGCAACGTGGCAATGATGATGTTATATCTGAAAGGCATCCTTCTATCAATGTGATACTTTTGCTTAAACATTTTATGAAACAAAACAACAGCCTTCTAGTTTCTGCAATGTTTAGATGCTAGCCCACAATTATGTGACATGATCATGTCTTTCAGGGGCCCAAAATCCAACACAT